AAACTAGTGTGAGATGTGAGAGCTGCAGGATGCTCGTGGCAGGAGCTGGGTTACCCGGGAAAGAAATGGGTGGGGAGGAGAGCTGGCTGCTGCCAGGCTGCATCCAAGCTTATGGGAGTCCAGTTCTCACCCCCTGCATGTGAGCAGCCAAGAGAGGCAGCAAGAAGGTGGGAAGTATGACAGCAGCTTTGAAGGGGAGTGGGGTGGGGTGAAAGTGTGAGGGGCCTGAGGGCACTGCCAAGCCACACTACCCCTGCTTATCCCCAGTGGGGCTTTCCCACCTGCCCCTGACCCCACATCACTCCAGGGTTGGCAGCCCCTGCCCCAGCAAGGCCCCAGCAGGGCAAAGCTCCAGCTCCCCACAGCCCAGCCCTACCTGGCCATGGACATTGCTAAGCCAGGCCACCCATGGGCCTACATCCCAGCCTGTCCCCAACCCAGCCTGTCCCCAGGGAGACGTCTTGTTCCCAGTGCCCCCACCTGCCCCTGCCCTGCACCCCAGGGGGCTCCCATAGCTCCCAGCCCACACAGCACCCAGAGAGAAGGGCAGACAGAGGGAGCTTCCTGAGGAAATAAAATAGCTGTGGGGACCTTATCAGGACATCATTCAAGTCCCAAACACGTGATGCTCCTACAGGAGGTGATCTCTTCCATCTTGTTCTCCTGGCAAGACCTGCCACGGGATGGTGCTGGGGTCATAGCCTGGTGGCCGTGCACAGCACCTGGTGGAGCTGAAACAGGAGCTGTCGCATTCCTGCATGCTGGGTGGGTCTCAATAAAAAATCAGCCCTTGGTAAAAATACACAGTGGATCTCAATACATCTAAGTAGCGTTGGCATAGACAAAAGGATTTCTCAGTGAAAGAAACCTGAGAAGAGATTGGGAAAATGTAGAGGAAGGCTGGAAACTTGGCACACCATCAGAAAAGGAACTGGTGTTATTAGAAACCTCACTGTGTTCCATAGTTCTCCCTGCAGGGAGATACAATTAAAACACCCTTGTTTTACATTCGCCCTGTTTCACTCACTGTTGGAAAACTGTAAAAGTGTCATTAAAAACAGGCATTTTCTTACTGGAGTAAACTGCATGAGCATCCTTACCATGATAGAAGTGCATGAACACAGGATGCTAGCAGAACTCAGTGCTGTGTAAATGAGGTTTGGGAAGGCTGCTGGAGCGCAGAGCTGGAAGCTGCTAGTCTATCAATGCAGGAGTCATTACGGGAAGGTGAAGAGAGTGCATGTAAATAAATCCAATTATCCTTCTCACTCTGGTCAGAATTCATTTTGTGTCCTCCCTAATTTGACCTCTGGTCTTACATTCTTAGAAAATTTTACAGTATTTTTATGTATGCTTATTTCTTTAAATCAGTGCAGCGTGGCCTTTATTCCAAATGGTTGGCTTTATTTCTAATGCTTTTATTCAAGATACCCACTGGGTGTGCTTTAAATTACACTGTTTATAGTGCTGTACTCTAAGGCTTGTTCTGTAAGTTTTTACATATGGGAACAAACCCACCTCTGTAAAGAGAACAGTCTCTGTGTGTTGTCTAGAGAGATTAACCTAATCCTTACAGGGATTCCTCAGTCATCAGGGTGGAAGGAAAAACTAACCACAGGGTTTACTACAGAGAAAGCAGAAAGTGTAGAGAAAGCAACAGAAAATGTGAAAGATATAAGAGAAATGATGTCACAGATTATAAAGTCAGAGTGTGGAGAGTGTGACGGAGCAAACTGTGAATATGTGAAGCCAAGAACCAAACTGGCCTGCTGTGGCCTTCCAGACCCTGGTGAGAGGCCCTGAATTACTGCTTCACATGGCACCCATTTCCCAGAAGTTGGATTCACAAATACCTATTACAATCTTACTGGAATAATGAAAATATTATGGAGATGATAAGAGGTGTTTCCCTTAAATGTTATGATTTTTGTCAAAATATACAAAAGAACTCAAATCTACTGAAAACTGTCACATCTCTTTGGCATCTCAGTATATTACCCACCATAAGGCTTTTCAAATAATTATAATAAAAATCCTTAAAAAGTATTATTAATAAAAGCATTAACTAAACCACACTTCAATATGTTAAACAGGTGGGCACAATGTAAAAAGCAGACTGAAAATACAAAGAGCAACTTACTAATTCCTCTAGTTAGTTAGTTATTATTAACAAGGAACTCTTGTTGAGGACAGCTGCTGTGTTTTTGTCCATTTGTAAAAAGTTTGCTGTTACTAGGATAAAACTGAAATAACAATCCTGAGAGGCTCAAGTAACTTTTTATTTTAGGTGTTCAGTATCAAGAGGTGTTTTGGTTGGTTTCTCCACAAAATCCTAAGAAAAGACTCAGCTCAACTTAGTTGAGGAAAATGACATTTTCGTTAATGTATTTATAATTGTGCTTTTTGCCTATAACAGCTTAGTAAAGTATTTGTATAATGCTACTGAAATGCATTTTTTTCAGGGTTTTTAAGACAAAAGCTGCAAAAACTTGTTAAATGCAGGGCTAAACACGTTGAAAAAGACTGCATTTATCAAGATTGACATTGCTTACTCAGTAGGTCAAGGAAATGTCAAGATAAAAGACTTTACTACAAAACCAATTGTTACCAACAGTAAATAGGAACTACATATATAAATAAATAGGATAATCTAAAAGCAAAGTTCACACAAGTTTAATTTCCACCTGTGATATTGGAAATCTTGCCCACATTTATGCGGTAGTGTAAAATATGTTTGTAGTAGTGTTAAATGAGTCTTTGATTTTTGATGTCATAGAAATACATGTATAATAACAACACCCTTAGTTAATTTATCCCCGTGTTTATCCATAATTATGGCTAATTTCTAGGGAATCAGTTCATAAATTTGTATTTAGGATTTTTATTCTCTGGGCATTTAATTTACTCAGAAAAAAAAAAAACTTTCTGTATTTGCTTTGCTGAGAAGTTAGAAATTACAATCATTATGAACATCTGAGAGACAATATGAATAACAACATTTCAGCAAATAAACTGAATGCTTTTATTATGAAATCAGTTTAGTTTATTCTGCATCTAGAACATCACTATCTTGATTGGGCTTTGAGTCTGGTCCTTAAGAAAACAGGTAAGTAATACATTTTCTATAGATAAGTGGTAGTTTTCCTAGTACTGAAGTTTACAGAGTGAATTTCTACATATTTCATTACCTATCCAAATAAGATTATAACAAATATTTCCATGAGCAGGAGAGTTCTGACTGAACTTTCCCAGTAGTTTAGCCTCGGATTAAGAACTCTGCACATTGGTTTCCCTACCACTGAAAACCCTGCTCTAGATTGCCACCTGTTGTCATACAATTTGCAGTAATGTAATAATCTGTAACATCCTGTTAAATTTGGTTGAAATTGGTCATGAGTTCTAAAACTACCTGGAGAAATTATGCCAGGCAGACAGAAGGACAAATGCTTGTTCAAGTAGCATAATTACATAGGCTTTCTTTTCTCAGAAAAAAGGCTAGAAATTGCACATGGCAAGATAATTCTTTTTGAAATTGTCTCTTCAGAGTTTAGTCACAAATTGGTAACGTGATTATTTTAGATTTTTCCTTCTATCTTCTGTATCGGTTTTAGGCAGATATATGCTTCTATATATTACTCATTGCATTTTCACATTCTAATGTTTTACTTCAAAACATGACAGATATTAGCACACTTAAACAAAAGCATTGCTAAACATCATTATGTGAACATAAATTTTGAAGTCAGTTCTTTCCAAGTTGGCAGGCAGGCCCTGCTCTTAACTACACATGTTTGATGACTTGCAGACTATCAGTGATGATGACTACTATTTTGTTCTGAATCCTCTTCTCCCTCTGTCTCACATTCTCCTCTTCTGTTGTTAGCAAATGAGTAATACTTTATAGATTAAAAATAAATTAAAGGTAGGAAACAATGATTAAGAAAGAGTTTTCTAGTTTTCCAAAGGAAGAAGTCATTTAGAGAATTCTGTGGCATCTGACAGTTCAGCGTTACAAAAAGGCTGCAAAAGGAAGTGAATGTACAGTTGGCGAAGTCTGCAGTTGACTCAAAGTATTCAGGATAATCAGCTAGAAAGCTGACTGAGGAAGGTTGCTGAAGTATTGCACAAATAAATTATAAAACGTCAGGAAAAAAAAAAATAAAAGCAAAAAGCTTAGTTAGTGCAAAGTGCTTGTGTCTAGTGTTTGTAGGAAACTAATCCTAATAGCGATACATATGGTAATGGAGAATCTTTTGCCACTCAGGAATAGGCTCTTAAAAGACATTGTAGCTCATAATAGTCAAAAAGAAAAACAGAATTGGTATAAGGCATTGGGAAAGGAGCCAAAACCAAACCACTCATTATAATTTCAGGTAATACAATACTTGCATTGTTTGTACACTACAATGTGTACAAACTACGATGTACAAGTGTACATCATTTGTACACTTGATTACTACATGAAATTCTGGTCATGCAGCGGTACTAGTGTATCAGTTAGAAAAACTAGAAAAATTAAACAAGAGCTTTGGTATGCAAAGAAAAAAAAGCAATCCTCAGAAGATTAAGTATGAAAACTGAAGTGAGTTATCATAATGGTGTATAAGACTGTGCAGTTTTTTGTTTGTTTGTTTGCTTTCCTTACAATGCTACAATTAAGCTTGAGGGGGAAAAAAAAAAAAAAAAAAAAAAAAAAGGAAATACTACTTTTTACAATACGTAACTCAAGTGTAACATCCTGCCCTAGTAGTCAAAACCATAAGACTGTTCATTATTTTCCCAGTTCCTTAATGGAGGGCATATTCAATAATACTATTAAACATGAATGGTGTCCCCACTGGTCAGGGGACTTAAAAATTGCTCATTGCGGGAGTTTATTTCTTCCTTAAGCCTGCACTACCGCCATTCGAGGCAGGCTCCCTGGCCAGACGGACCTTCACTTGGGGCTTCACTCCCAGCGTGCTGAATGAGGGAAAGTAAGAGTGGCGAGGAAGGAAAGGCTATGGAAACCCCATCCCCGGCTCTTCCCCGCAGGCTGAACAGTAATCCCCTCCTTCAGTCCCGTCAGCAGAGGCCCGGAGGATAACACGACACCCCCAGCCCAGAGACTTTCCCCGCTCAGCTCCCACAGCGGCCCGGCCGCCATTTTGGGAGCCGGGGCAGGCGAACTACAGGTCCCAGCAGGCCCGGCGCCGCGCCGCCATCTTGCCCCTCCGCTCCGCGGGGCAGCGGGGCAGGCAGCGGGGCCATGGCGCTGTTCCCGGCCTTCGCCGGTGCCGCCGAGCCCGGGGAGACCCCAGCGGGCAGCAGCGAGGGCTCCAGGAAAGGTAAAACCCTCGGGGAACCCTTCCCCCGGCAGCGCTCCGCGGGGAAGCCCTTCCGCTTCCAGTGGGCGCCGCACGGAGCTTCCTGCCCCGGCCGGCAGCGGCCCCGGGCTGCGTGTGGGGTCCGCGGGCAGCGGGGGGCTTTGAGGTGGTCCCCGCCCGCCAGGCCCGCCTCAGCCCCGCTGCTGCACGGGGCGGGGTGCCCTCGCCGCCGGCTCCTCCCTCCCCTGCGCGGGGCTGCGCGGTCCGAGGGGAGGCTGGGAAAGCTTAGTGCCCGCTGCTGCTTTCAATAAAGTTGCTGTCCTGCTGACCAAAGTTCCCTTCTGGGGTGTAAATTTGGAGAGAAGCTGAAGTAGGGACACCTGGGGTGTGGGCTGGGTGTGCGCGGGTTTGTTGCCAGGTGTCTGCTGGAGGCGTGGCTGTGGAAACGCTCGTCCTGGGGAAGGGTGTGCAAGCCGTAAAGGATCGTTTGGGGAACTTTATGACTGAGAATATCATTCAGCTTGATCTTCTGATTGCCACGGCTGCTGCCTAATGAGTTATACTTCTATTAAATGAGCAAAGAACACTAGGTGGTGTATTGCAAAATGTAAAGTACACACTCAGTCACAACATGCATTAACTGTACTGGGAGGTGTTCTGAACTCAGCTTATTGCTTGCCATCTCCCACTGCCCTTGCCTGTCCTGTAGAGATCACACCAAGAGAAAAGTAACATAATCCCTGGTGTAAATTTCTTGGATGTTTGGTCCGGTCATTATGGTGAGTTTTAGAAACTTTCATGAATACAACATAGGGTAAGCTACTTCCCACCTCCTAGCAAGTTCTGCATTTTGCCCTGATGGCATTGCACCTGTTGATACACAGCCTGCCAGTACAGAGATGCTTTAGCTGTGCTGGGGAGCCTTTCTGGTAATGCACTTGGTGCAGGGAACAGTGGGCATAATAATATCCCAAATCACAGCTTCTAGGAAGAGAGAAGCTGCTGTGCCAAGCAGATGTACAGTAATGTTGCTCTAGTAGTGAGGCCTTTGCTTACATTTTAAAACCCTGGGAATAGAGCCTCAGGTTTGTTATGCAGTCTGTGTCACCGCAGACCACCTGCCTGGAAGGTCAAGTTACACAGAAAAAGATGTTAAGACGTACTTTCAGATCTGGATTTCAGTTATAGCATTGTTTATGAGATATGTTTTGGTCTACTAGAAGCTTTTAATATCAGAATTATTGACAAAAGTTTAAGGATCATCATTTGTTCACTTTTTACGTTTTACGCAATTTTGTACTTTATCGTATTTCAGTATAAGTAATAAAAATTAAGTACTCAGAACCACATTAATGGTGGCATATATCAAATTTCACACGTTCAGCTTGTGAGAACTTGAGAACTCGACAGACAACTTTGGTATCTGTCTGATAGATGACTCTCTTTCCTCAGAGCTGAGATGAAGCCAAAATCGATCGTGATACAGAGATCACTGAATATGTGTTTTTTAACATGATATGTAAAACTGGGGTGTCTTCAGCAGTCATTCAGGATAACTTTATAGTTTTATCATAAAAAATAGGTAATAATGTAAACACTGTCATCATATTTCATTCTTCTGACCTCTGTCTGATATTCTTTCAAACTTCCATAAATCATTTATAAATATCTGAAACAGTATTGCTGTATGCTCATCCTATCCTGCTAAAATGCTGAGCTGCAGCCATCTCTAGAGCACAACATAATTTTGTATATGGTTTCTTAAAATTATATTATCAAGTTTAATTACTTTTTGATAAAAGACCACAAATTATCAGTACTGAACAGAACAGTGGTAATAATTAACCCCCCAGGCAGTAGTAAGCATAATGCACAGCATTGTTTACAATCTAAAGTATTCCGTAGTTACTATGATTCCGTGATTTTTGCTGAAAGTACATTTTCAGCATTTGGAAAGGCAACTGAAGACCTTCATAAAACTCTTTAAAATGCCCCTTAGACATGCACTATATGTATATATACTATATATTTTATCTATATACACTATATATAATGCATATAAATATATATATGTAACTTGGTAAGGTTTAAAAAAGTGCCACTGGTTTACTTCTACTCTTGTACTCATGAATATAGATGGTGGAATGGAAGAATAGTAAATGCACACATATTATCACCAAAAATTTGTCTGTTATTTTATTTTCTGAAGAACATAGATCTGGTCTGTGAAAATACTAAACTTCTTAGATGTCTGACAAGAAAAAAAGAATGAAGTGGTAGAATTTTAAAGATTGAAATATTTGTATCCACCTAACTGATTCACTGGAGATTTGCAAGGAGGTTTGGACTTGCATGTTGCGTAATGGAAAAATTTGTTCAATTCTTTCCAGAGTATCAGGTCAGTTTGAATAAATTGTTCAGAAAACTCTAGTTGGAGAATTCTAAACATTGCACTGGTGTGTCCACAGAGGCATATTGACTGTGCTAGGGGGGTTTGTTCATGCAGTGTGATTCTTCAATATTTTAAAAACGCAATTTGATCTCATCTGTTCAGGTAGAACCAAGCCTAGGCCATCAGGGGATTAATGTTTATGACTCCAGTTCTCAAGGTGAGATTTCCTGTGAGGCACTAAAACAATAATTTGGCCTATTAAAAATAAATGTTACTCTGCTTGTGCTTACTGCCATAAGCACACTGTACCTGGTTTAGTGAGGGACTTCACATCTGCAGGGAAATAACAGGTACTTGCAGGTAAAGTTAAGTCAAAATAACATCTTAAAAGTTTGTTAAAATGGTGATAGTAAATGTTATTTTGCTATATTTAATGCAAATTTCCTATGGAAATCATTCTCATGCGTGCTTGCTGTGCCAGTATGCCAGCCTGCTTCTGCAATATCTCTCTCCCCCCTCAGGAGTTTTAACCCTTTCAAAAAAATTAATTGTGAGTGAGAGAGAGAAGTCATAAAACGAGGGGTCTATGAAAATCTGCACTTGCTTAGAAAACATAAATCTAGGCAAGTGACACTGTTGAGAGAGAGGCTGTAACATGAATTGAACTACTTGGCATTGAGCATATGCACGTTAGCCAACTAATAAACATCTTCAGAGATCACACTGATACAGCACAGGCTGCCTCCTGCCCAGCTGATAGGGAGGGGATGTGGGAAAGCAGCAGGGTCTGGAGAACTCCGATAATTCCTGAAGCTGTGGCAGTGGGAGAGAGTGTAAAGGATTTAGGGCACAACTCAGAAACCCAGGCTTCATTCTTTTGTAAGATGCAAGATTAATTTATTGACTGGTTTTGAGGGAGGAAAGTGAAAATTTTGCCAACTCCCTCGTTATTTAAAAATGTGGTTCCTGTCTTAGCACAGCCTTTAAGGCAGAGAAATATAGAGATAACTGCTTTCCACTCCTGTGCCAAATCAGGTATAAGCTCTGTTTAAACTGACTTGTAGATTCCAAGTGTGTTTTGTGCCTCAAGAAAATTGTATGCTTGATCAGCCCCTGCTTTTATTGTCTTCTAAAGCAGCTGAAGCTTTACTACTTTCTTTGTTAAATTTATTCTCTGTTCATTTTGTCAATGTAATCAATAATGCTATTTTAAAAAGTAATGTATCAGTGGGTTTTTATTTTTCAGTTTTTAAGCCTAAAGCTCCTAGTCCTGCTAAAGATCCATATCTCCATTTGGAAATTGCTTGGAACGCAGTGCCTTAATGCTCGAGGTTATAAAATTTAGCATACTTGTTGTATGCAGACATTTTTTTCCTATTTTGGGCTGCTCTGTATCTAAAGTGTTTACATGGTCAAGTAATATTGTAAAATGCATTATCTATGTTAATCTTTGGAGGACCAGATACTATGCTCTTGAAATTGACGGAAAGCCTATTTTGAAATGTACAGCATGTTAGAAGATGTTAGGTCAAGATCTTAAACATGTCTTAGACTAATGGTCTGGATCTCATAAGTCTTGAAATCTGAATTTCATCACCAACAACTCTGTATGCTTAAAACAATTCATTTAACTGTTCTGCCGTAGCTTAATTCTTTTTTTTTTCTGAAAAGCTTAAGCCAGTGTTTTATTAAGAAATGTCATGAGTATTGGTATTAATATATTTCAAGTGGTTTTGAAGCATAGTTCTTTATTCAAATCAATACAGAACTACCTTACAATAAATTAAATTCTGCCAAAATAAATAATTCTAGTAAATGACTTATTACACGTTGCAAAGTGAAACAATAATTTATCAAAAGGAAGCTCAAAGGCTTCTGGGGGATACCACGCAAATTAAAACAAAGATGGATTTTTTTTTAAGGGCACTGAATTTCTCCTTTATTTCTGTAAATGAATAAAAACCCTTATGCACAAATTGGTTGTATTTACCTAAATATGGAGTGCTCGGGACTGATTAATCTCTGAATTTGTCTATGTATAAGGAAGACGGAGCGTGACCAGTGGAAAGATGTGTTAGGGTTACGGTTTGTTCCTGCATTCCTTTACATCACTTCTTCAAAACCAAAATGAGCAGAAATAATTGAATATATGTAAGATACCCATTTTTAAATCAGCATCATATTTAATAAATATACTTGAGGAATCTCAGGCATAAGGCAGCACACTAGCATGTGACATTTATTGAATTAACTCATTTGGTTATGTAGTTATCAGGTGTAGGAAGTTATATAAGTCTTGTGTGTTTCACATATGGTATGGTTGCAGAATTATCTCTGAGAAGCATTATGGGATTTTGTGAAAAATGCTAAATAAAATTCTTCTAAGAAGCAATTCTGATTCTAGGTTGTTTCTTAGTACGTTTCTTACAGGACTGAAATGAGAACTTATTATTGCAGAGCACTTTATTCCCCAGCAGGGGGAATTTTGATAGGCAAGTCACATGTTGCTTGGATATTAGCCAGCAGAAATCTTTCCCCTTTAAGGTCACCAAAAGTTTTGGTCGAATGCTTTGTGGTAGATTTAGAGGTTTAGAATCAAGCACACGTATTTAAGATGAAGGTGCTTGTGCCACAGTGGATTAATTTAAATTCAATTGAATTAAGTAATAGGTTTTTATCATGTTTTAAATAAGTAATAATGGTTTAAAGGTCTTGATTGTAATTGTAATTTTGCATTAATATATTTTAAGTACTTCGGGGGGGGGGGGGGAAGGGTTTTGGTGTGGATTTGCAACAGAGTGTGGTAACATTTGACATAGGTGTAGTGATTCCATTGCCAGGCAGATGGATACAATCATATGCATACAGGTTAGACAGCTGAATTTTTATCTTTCTGTTTTTCACTGTCTTGCATTTTGGTGATGGAAAGGATGGTGCATGGCAGTGCCCTGCGGTGTGCTGCCTGGGGCTCTTCTCTGTGCAGAGATGGAGACTTGGCATGGCCCAGCGAGGACGGCCCTCCTTGAGAGAGTGCTTGTTCTTTGCTGGCTAGGGCCAGCTCTTGGGAAGTGACAACTGGAGCTTTGCTTGATTATATGTACTTGATGAGTTTATCTTAGGTTAGCAAACTGTTCTGCAGCCTGCTCCATTTTAAATCCTTTTGTGGACAACAGAGACATGAGACAGAAGAAAGAATTTTGGTATGAAGAGATATTTCTGAAAGAAATACTTCTGAAGGAGGAGAGATGTATGGCTTGGCAGACAATGAGTTCATGCTATTTAAGTCTCAGAGGTCAGCGTGGTCAAAAGCACAAAGACAAGAATGTGACAGGAAGAACACTGAGGCAAAAACGGTTGTGAAGAGCATGGAGAACGGGCAGGGAGACAAAATTTGTTCCTTTGTTATCTCCCATGGAATGGCACCAGAGAGACTGCTGATAAATGCTGATAAATTCTGTGATTATGCTAAGCAACAATTTTTGTTTAATGTTAGAACAGTTCACACGCTTAAGGGTTTTCATAGAAATTAAATTTCTAGAATTCTTTCATAGAAGTTTTAATATCACTAAAATTAGGTCAGAAAGTCTACCTTCTATAGCCTGTCAACATCTGACCTGATAGATACCCGAAATGGTTGGTCTCTATGCTAAATGCTGATTAACGCATCAACATGAACATCAATTAGCCTTTTCTCACGCTGTATCCAAGGGTAATGGTATCTCAGTGGTTAGAGAACTGAGAATCCAGTGCCGTATTTTGACCTTGTATAAAACACTTGAGTATTCTTATCAGTAATGGGTGTCCCTATCAATAAAATTGTGTTCAAAATACTTTCCATACAGCAAGTAAAGCACATTTTGTAATTTTCTAAATTTGCATTAAGTTGCGTTTCATTCGTTACCTATGTTTCTTAAGTAATTATGTCCTTCTGTATTTTTTTCAGTTATACTGTTTGAGTCCGTACGTGTTAAAATTAATACTGGAAAGAGACTTAAAAAAAAATATATATATATATATAGCAGTATATGAAACATATTACCTGCTTTCAGAATGAACTTCTAAGTATTGCTACACAGTGTCTTTTTAAAAGCTTAAATTGATGTCCCAAGAGAATCCTGGCTCCTAAATATTTTACCTGGTTGAAACCTATTGTTCTGCTAAATGGAAATTTCATGGACTGCTCTTCAGTGTCCTCAACTATTACACATGACTTAGTGACATTTTCTGCAAATTTAAATGTCTGCTGACTAGATTAACCCCTAACTTTAAAAAACATAGCAAGCTTATTTGTACTGATCTCACGCTTCTCTTCACCTGCAGACCTGGACTGGCTGAGTAACCCAAGCTTCTCTACCGAAGATGCACTGTTAGTGCATCAACGCACTACAGAAGTTGCAAATTCTACCCCTGAAAAATCACCACTAATAAGGTAGAATATACTTCAATATCTCTTTAGCTTCTTTTTTTTTTTTTTTTGTCCTGCTTATCTTTTGTTATGGGAGACCAAAATCAGGAGCTTTTAGTGCTGCTTTTCATTCCACTGTTCACTATTTATAAAGGCCTGAGCTGAGTCATATATGAAAGTATGAATAATGCTTCCATGTCCTTTAACTTAAAATAATGAGAAGTTATACTTATATAATTACGTTTAAATTTTCTTTTTCTCACAGCTACATTTAAATCATTGTTATTTTGGCAGGGAAATGGAGCTGAGTGATGATGATTCTTCATTAGCTTTTGAATGTCCTTAGTGACCCTTGAATTAATGTAAAGATTAAGTATCATCTTTGTGATTTCTCTGTGAAAAACATTTAAATCAACCATTTTGCAGTCAAGTACAGGATTTATTTTTTTTTACTTTTTAAAAACTAGTTGAAGATGTGAATTAATGAGATAATACCTGTATCAAGTTTTTCAGCAGCATAGATTGTGCTGCTCACTGAAGAGGCTGATTATGTTATTTTTACAAATATGTGTTGTGAGCACCACATTTGTTAAAGTACTGGTTGATTTTAGTACCTTCACTTGAACAGTTGCTGTACTTGACATATCTAGACTATAACTAAAACTGAATAATTAATAGAATCCAGTTGCAGTTGCCAAGTTTGAAAACTTAGTCATGTTTAATTTTAAACAAGCTCCAGTGTTTATGTTGGCTGTTGGTGGCAGTGAGACAGAATGTCTTTATAATAAAAATCATGGTTGAATACATCCTTTCATATATTTATGTTTACATTTACATATATTGTGTAAATGAAATGCCATCACTGTTTTATTTATCAGTCATATATTCTACTTTTATTGTCACTAAGGAATTTACAAATTACCCTTCAGATAGAATGATCTAATAAACCCACCATATTTAACTTTTGAAAAAGAATGTAAAAAAAAAAATCTTAAGTATTACTGGGGTACAATCTCATTTCAATAAAAACTAATTAATATAGTTAAGATATTTCATTGTGTTTTTTTTTTTATTATTATTATTTTTGTTTGTTTTTAAGATTTCGATGGGTTCTCCCATGGATTCTTTTTTCTTCATACTTTCATACAAAGACACTGCTTTGTGTTCTTTTTGGAGGTGCCTTGCTTCTGAAACAATGCATTTCCTTTTATTGACTCATTAAGAATACTGAGCCTTGTTGCTCCTCTTTTAGTGTCATCTCTTAGTAAGTCAGTTGTCTATCACATGTAGTGTTTGTTATTACATTTTTTTATACGATGTTTATATGATGTTACTACAGTTTATTATACGACAGCATTAATTCAGTAGTCACCAAAAATTGTTCCTTAAGAAGTAAGATTTGAATTTTTAAGCTGGACGTGATCTTGAAAATACTTCTTTGATTTTTTTTTTTTTATGTAAATCATAATGAAACAAAGAAAAGGTACAGACTTTTTCTTTCTTTGTGGTCACCGTGAAAGGTGACCATCTTTTTAGCGTGACCTAAGTTGTCTCCACACAGTTGTTATAAGATTTTATCAGCTCATTTATTTTCTTTAATTTGGTGGTGATAACAGATGGATACTTGTATAGATCCCACATCAAAATGTCTTTGACAATTAAAAATTTAAGACTGTTTTTCAGCAATTCCAGAAGATGAGAAAAATATAATTGTTATTTACTGCAGTTCTACTGTATATTACATTTTATGGGTTGCTATTAACTCTCTTCTCCAGAAAGACAGGCAGGGTAGAGAAAGGTGAAGGGTAAAAATGTTTATGAGCTTTCTCACAGTGATATCTTTTTACAGTTCTACTACTCAGATATCTAAGTGTATATATAGATATATATACTCCTTTCCAAGCAGGACTACTTCAAGATCAGAGCTGTCAGGGGAAAGTGATTCAGATGAGAATCTGAAAAAGTCAAGTAAGAAAAGGAAAAAGAAAAAGAAAAAGCATCACCACTACAAGACAAAAAAGAAAGCCAAAGGGGACTCCAGCAGCAGCGAATCAGACTTGGACACTAAGCACATCAAGGACAGAGCTACAGCAAGTGGCAGAAATCGTGAAAAGGAAGCAGCAGCAAAGTATGTACTTATAAATACTATGCAAAATGTAAATTTGTTGTGTTTTTTTTACCTGTCTCTTCAACTTTATGAATGAGATTCTTGCCCCTGGTGTGTTGTTTTTTTTTCCTAACCTTTAAATAATCAAACCTGTGTTCAAAACAATTAAAAAGATTCGAATTAGAAACACCTGTTTTATCACTTCTGAGAAACAGTGACTAAAATATTCTGCAAAATACTGTTCTTCAGAACAAAACACGGTATGGGTGTAATGAAATATTTTTAAAGATGTTTAAAGGCTAATTTTGTGTATTTGTAAGCATCTTGTTTCCAGTCATGGGTCCTTGCTTTACTTGTAGAGCTTGGAGAGGGCTTGCATTAAACATTATTCTTAATTAGTGTAATAACACAGTTGTATTTGTCTTGTAATATAACTTCTTACTCAGAGTTCACATTTGCTTTTTTCTTCATGTTAAGAAAAAGCTTATATTAATTTAATATTTCTTTAATGTCCATCCATTTATTGCTATATGCCATATGCTTCATACTTCTTACTCATAGTATATCTGGGTGAGTATTTGAACAATTGAAATTGTTTTACCAGATCTTTTTTGTTAATTCTGGGAGCTCTGAAGTACTGTGTAATTGGTGGAGGTGTCATTTTTGCATGAAATAGTAGGTGTCTAGTAACTAGCATGATCCTTGAGCAGTAAAAGAGGTTCTACAAACACATTGAGTATTCTGCTTTGGCAAACCACATACACAGTCATGTGTTTTTCTCAGTCTCTTGGTTTTTGATGTTTTCAGTCTAAGTGGCTCTATCTAACTGGCTGTGTAAGTCGCCTTTCCCTGTTTCTCATCATGTTTGTCAGCTTGAGCAGCCATTTTGCCTCTCTGATTCTGCATCTGCTCCTGGGGAAGGAGTGAGGATGTCGTCACACTGAGGTTTTAACTTTTGTTACAGCTGGGTGTACTCCAGGCCATCTTTGACTTTTCCTCTATTTTCTACTTTTCCAAGGCAGATTTTGCAAGAGCTGAGAGCACAGGTTCATAAGCACCTGTATATGCTATAAATATGTACACATTGTATACATCGTGTGTATACATGTATATATATACATGTATATGTATACACATTGTGTGTATATATATATGTATGCATATATATGTGTGTGTGTATATATATATATGCATACATACATACACATATATATATATAGATATATATACATACATGATGTTTCCTGGTTTTGTAAATGCTGAATATGTGCACAAATAATTAGAATATACTTCTCGTTTTCTTCAGTCTAGGTGATAAAACATCAAATCTTACCAACAACCGCTTTGTTTGGCTTGATGACGTCCAGGCTTTCACAGCAGAAACTTTCAGAATAGACAAGAAATCAGATCCTGCAAACTGGGCCTACAAATCCCTGTATCGAGGGGACATTGCAAGGTACAATATGTTGGTTTGTATTGGTTTGCAAGCTATCATGGAATCACTAACTCAAGATTCATTAAATTGAGGCTGGTTGTGAAATAGTTGACATTTCAAATTTTTATGAAGAAGGTGAGAAAATACCTTCTATAGCGTACTTAATAGTGTACTTAAAAATTTAACTTTGTATTGGATCAAAATATCATTGAATACAAAAGATGCCATGAAATAATGGGAATAAAGTACTTTTTAAAAACATTCTTTATGTAGTAGATCACAGGCATGTGAACCTCTAGATCTGCCATCTGGAGGTGGCATCATTCAAAAGTCATGGTTTCAAAGTCAGAAACCCTAGGTTCAGTTCTAGATAGTCTCCAGGTCGTTGTACATTTTGATCTCTTCATTGCTCTTTTTCTGTGCCTTAAAGGGAAATGAAGGTACTATGTTTCTCATATTAGAAATGTCAAAAAATTTACTTACTTGAGTAGTTTGAGATTTTTGCAAAAAGTGCAAATACTTTCTTAGCAAATGGATTCTGTGTTAGATTGTGCAGACGTTATACCAAAGAGTATCTGTTTAATGCATTGCTACATTTCAAATGGCTGTAGATGAAATTGCATATTCAACATCCTTAGTGGGTTACTACTATTATGCTAACGCTTCAGAGCTTTTCCCTGAATTAACAGAGAAGTCCATCCAAAGGAGCTCACGCTGGGCTTATGTATTATGCATGCACACTTTTTGTTTCATGTTCTCAAGGAAAAGTGTTTACTGTGTATAATGTAATTATTTGTGGAGGAAGAGGGGTTGATGTCTTTTATTTTTGTAATATGTATACCTGTGCAGTAAAATTGCCTGGTTACAATCCATTCCACTTTTCTGCTAACTTTGGGTTGTCAGCTATTGTTTGAGATGGAAAATGTTATTTCGGCATTGCACATCACTGCATCTGCCATTGAAATGACATTTTTGGTAATATTTTAAAATGGCATCTTTCTTTGTTAGTCCGTAGCCTTCATTGTGGCCTTCATGAGTCTGTTTTTTTTCCCCCTCTTGTTGGCTTATAAGATGGAGAAAGGCTTAGGGATGCAAAAGAAAAATTACCAGATGAACTGCTGTTGTCTAATTATTCACTTTAAAATAATCTAATCTAAATACCATTAAATAGTGTTGTCTGTTGATCTTTGTCCAGGTATGTCTGCATGGTTTAAAGTGATTGGAGGAAAAAATATTTTTTCTTCTGGAAGTAAGATGGCCATCATTGAACTTAGAGAATGCTTTAAATGATAGAAGTTCTGATGGCACTGCAAAAATAAATAAAGACTTAAAGAGAGAGTTCCCAAGTTCTTAAACTTTTGAAGCTCTCTGCATATGCTATTTGGGTCAATTTGGATTAAAGTACTTGATTCATAGTTTCATATTTCCTTTCAAAAAGGAGTTATCCTTTCTTACATGTATTTTAGAATATGTTTAACTGTATTTTTCCTTTTAAGATATAAAAGGAAAGGAGAGTCCTGTCTTGGCATAGATGCAAAGAAACAATGTATAACTTGGGACAGTCCTGCATCCCAAAAGAAGCAATCACAGAGGCGACCTGAGCGCTACTTTTCAAAGAACAATGTGAAGACATTAAACACAGATGGGATTCCTGTTTGCAATAAAAGTTCTCCATCTGACTCAGCTGCTTTTATACCAGTTTTCCAAATGGAAAGCAGTGATCCTTCTGACACAACAGAGGTAAACCCTCTTGGGATTTATGATCCATCAACTACAGTGTGGCTGCAAGGAAAAGGAAACAAAGATGCAGAACATGAGCCTGTAAATACACAGCAGGCATTTCAGGAGTCTGTGATAAATGTTAACCCCATTCTGATGACAAAAGTGGAAGAATATAACAAGAAAGTCAGAGAAAACCCAAGAGATATTAATGCTTGGATGGAATTTGTTTCTTTTCAGGTATGTTTTTTGACAGACATGATTGCTTATTATTAAGTAATAAATACACAAATGTATTTCAGTTTCCTTTGTTTAGGACTATATATATTTACTGGAAAAGAATGAGCTGTTAATTCATTTTCACAAATGTCAGTGTTCTTCTCATGATGGTTGTTCCTAATGTTGTTATGATCTTTGTTTTGTTTAAAGGATGAATTAATGAGAGGACCTAGCCCTTATGCAAGTATGGGAGAGCAGGAAGTAAGAAGAAAATCACTGAAGTTAATCTTAGAAAAGAAACTAGCTATTTTAGAGAGGGCAATTGAAAGCAATCCAGGTAATGTTGATCTGAAACTCGCCAGGTTGAAGGTTTGCACAGAATTCTGGGAACCACCAGCTTTGATCAAAGAATGGCAGAAGCTAATTTTCATACATCCCAATAACCCAGAGCTGTGGAAGAAATATCTTCTGTTCTGTCAAAGTCAGTTCAGTACCTTTTCTGTTTCAAAAATCAATGGACTCTATGGAAAATGCTTGACTACGCTGGCAGCTGTACAGGATGGCAGCATGGTGTCACATCCCCCACTGCCAGGCACAGAAGAAGCTATGCTAGGTAAGGAAGTTTTTCTCTCTTTTGTGATATGGTCAGAAAGGTCTTCATAAGAGTTGAATACATTCTCTGTAAGAACAGACTTTCCTATCTATTATAGGAAAATTTTATTCTCTTCAAAATGCTGGCATCTTGTTTTCTTAGCTGAGAATTGAAGCAGACATTCCAACCAAATATGGATACGGCAGATGCTTCCCTTCCCCAGATGAGTTTGTGATACACCATCCAAGTATAATGTCCTGAGTGGTTTACAGTACAACGGCAAGGCTTAAGAATTGCAGCCGGCAGCCAAGAGAGGTGCTTTTATCTTTGAAAAGTGTTTAAAAAAAAAAAAAGTTTGGTTGTGAAAGAAATGATCTCTTGTTCAAAAGTTTTTTTTTTTTAATTACTTTTATCTAGAAAAGAAAAGGGTAATGTGAAATTTTTGTGAGAGTCACAATGAATGCATTCAGAATTCTGAACTGCAATGCTATACAATCATGCCATTTGCATTTATTGTATGCATTTATCTGCAAGTTAAAATTTATTATATAATTATGCCTGGAAGGAAAGTTAGTCAGATGGTTAGGATGCTGGACAGGATCCAGGCAAGAAACAGGTTTGTGCTCAGTTCTGGCACAGGCTTTAAATTTGTCTGGAGCCAAATGAAAGTTATATCCCGTTTCAATTATGCTTCTCTACCTCAAAGGGTCATTGTGATCGTTAATCTATGGATATGCTGAGGAGGAAAATATTAGTGTCACTATGAATCTGGATTATTTTTCTTTTAAAATACATTTTAAAGCTAGAAGAGACGATTATGCTGTATTTCGTGCTTTTTCATCTGTGGCATAGTCCAAGAAACTTCTATTTTTGTCCAAATCTTGAAAGTGCTGTTGGAACAATAATGCTATCTGTTAAGCAAGTCTTGACTTTAAGATTATGATGCCAATGCTGTGTTACAAAATAACTTAAATTCTTTGGATCTCTTACGGTGGTCTTCTGATTCATTTTGGATCAAGAGCTGGAAAATGTTTTGTAAAGGAAAAGTCCCCTACTGGCAGGTGGCTGTTGTACTGCCTGGTATCGTCTGATCTTCTAATTACGGTCTTTGACTTCTAATACTTCATTCGCTTTGTATGTCAACACAACAGATGTTTCTCGGGACAAATGTTTTATTCAGCCTCCACATGTATATTTTTTTCAAACAGGAAGGTTTCCTTTTTTTTTTCTGCACAGAACATATTTACTTGTTAAATATTTTGTGAAAAAAATGTTTTTCAATATGGTCCCTTTAACTAGTTTAATCTGTTACGTTGAAACGTTTTTCACAAAGCATACTTGTTGGCAAGTCTACCCGTATAAATAGGTTGAAAAAACAACTCAACTTTTCTTGTGTTTCTGTTCACTCTTAATTTCTACTTGTCCTGTATTAGCACTATAGTGAATTGTTTACAAGCACTGTCAAGAACTTTTTTTTTCTATTATATCTTCCCCACGCACACTCCACCCCACCCATACAGACACTTTGGAATTCAAGTAATAGGAGTGGAGAAACTTCCAGGGGGGTCTTCTTGGTCTGAAAGTGTTTTTTTTATTATTATTATTTTTAGTTCCTTAACTATTTGTAATTCTTGAGGTAAGTTTGAACTAAGAAATCTACAAATTTTTGTTAACATAAATCTACTAAGAGTTTCACGAATTAGGGGTAGATGTATGTAGGCTTCTATCATCAACCTTTGATAATGATAAAGTGTAAGAGCTAAGTTTAAGTAGTGGTGGACTGTGCCATCTAGTGTTCAATTATGTGCATGATACTATCTGCTTCAAAACAGTATCAATGTATTTTTTAAACATGAAGAAAGGTAAAGATGTATTTAAAATTATAGATCAGTCTTCAAATATTTTTATCTTGTAACATTTTAAATTTACTAGGATCTGTTAATGTAAAACAAGTGAAAATAAGCATCCTCAAGTTCTGCTGTGGAAAGGCAGTCCTGTTTTTCAAATTATACGTACCAGCTGGGGAGAAACATCCATACCTTCTAGGTTCGGCTCTAGAAGTGTCCTAGCATCGTAAACCAAATTAAATATGTATGCATGTTGTTTTCAGTTTTTATCACAAAGAAAACACTGATCTTTGCATTTCTTCGGTTTTCTTTTTTGTCACAGCAGAAAGTCTTATGCTATTAGTTATTTTTGGCTCCAGTTTGACAGCAAGTCCTGATGAGATATTCTCTTCATTCAGAACATTTTAATCAATGTTCATTAGTTGGAAGCTGATGAACTGGGAAGCAACAATTTTTTTCAGTGGCAATTGGATACCAAAATTGATGGAATAAGTGCCTAAACTGATTAAAATGCTTTGGAAGATTCTATTAGACACTTAGCACACTTCTTGTTGTTTAATGAGATTTCTGAAGGTATTTAAGTCTTTGTTGTCAGAAAGAATGACCTTGCAGGAAGATTAATGAAACGCTTACTTCGTATGTGCGCATATCTGGTGTAAATCTGAACAAGAGGAATAAATTGTTTGCCACTCAATATAAAGAGATAAAATCATCATAATTTGTATAAACCTATGAAGTTGCATTTGTATATCTAGACACATACATACTTTGTTTTGGTTTTGAAGGTTTTTAAACAAAGCAGTGTTTGAGTAACTATTTTCAAAACTATCAATGAATTATCTGTCTTATTTGTTGCAAAAATTATAATTTAAAGCACTTTGTCAAACAGCCCCTGTTTTGTTAAGAGTTCAATGTTATTTAGAGTATTCAAATGTCTCTGAAATGTTCTTGCATTATCTAGTAGTAGTTTGTTTGTTGTTTTTTTTTTTTTTTAATATGTTATTTTTCTAGCTCTTTTCTTTTGTCCTAAAATTGTCATTTGCAAACATATGAATAGAAAATCTGAGGTTATTCTTTCCTGTATAAGCTGGGATTTGAGGCTCAGTGTGTAGTAGGGGTATGACAATGATTACAGAAATAATTTGTTGAAGAGCAAGGGACAGGATGATTCTCTAATCTCAGGCAGTAATGCTTTGGCCAAAAGACCAGACTCTCATAAAGGAAAATAAAATGGCATCTGTTTAGCACATTTAAAGTGGGAGGACTTGAAGTTACTACAGACTACAATAATTTTGACATGCTTTTATGTCAGTTACTACTATGTTTTGGATTTTGACACTGTTCCAGAACAATTATGCTCCACAGCACTTCATGTATGTCTTTTGTATATTTGTGGTCTTTATTAAAATACTTAACAACAACAATTTCTTTGAAATAAAAAAAAACTTTCTTTCCTTTCCTTTACAGCTATATTTATTCAGCAATGCCACTTCCTGCGACAGGCTGGCCATTCTGAGAAAGCAGTGTCTTTGTTTCAGGCTCTGATTGACTTCACCTTCTTTAAACCTGACAGTGTAAAAGATCTGCCAACAAAGGGACAGGTAGCAATTTCCATTTAAATGGGTTTATGTCCTTGTGCATTACAGAGAATGCTGCAGCAGAAAAATATTGATGAATTTTAAGGACATAAGGAAAATATTTTGAATTGCAACTGACTTTGTGGCTCTTCGAGGTGGTGTCTGCATTGGAAAAATATTGTGGGTCCTCTGGAACTACATGCCAAATTGCTGCTGCTTCTGTATATAATGGAAGTGCAATGACCAGTCATACCTTGTCTTCCATCTTGCTAAAATGACAGAGAAAATTCAGCTGGCTGACCAAAGTGTCGGCAGTTAGTGCTTTCCTGCTTCTTTTCCCCGAAGTTAAAAGTTCTCCCCAATGTTAAAAATCCTTTTATTATCCCCACCTTCTCCAGCATCCACTACTAAGACATTATTTTTTGCCCTCTAGATGCTGTTGCCCATCAATGGAGCAATCTTTTACTATAAATAATACCAGTGTCCTCTTAAAATGCCGGAAGTGTAGACTTAATTATAATTATCATGCAGGATGGAACACTTGGCATAGTTGCACAAAAAAAAAAAAATAATTAAAAGACAAAAAAAAACAAACAAACACAACCAAACAACAACAAAAAAACCTGTTACGCTTCCAACCATTTGAAAAGACTGTAAGATTACCTGTAGTGTTTAAATCTATTAAGAAGGCAGGATGGAAAGGAACCTAAATTAAAAGGACAAAGTCTAGTTGGAAAGTGCAGTTCTTCAAAATAATAAAATGCCAGATTTACAGCTGGTGGAACATCTTTAATTCTGCCCTCTTGTAGAATCATGACTCAGTCTTGAATTAGTTGCTTCCGTACTGTTTTCACAGTTTACTTTCTCACTTTTTGCAAAGAATAAATCCATAAAGAGTAGAATTAGATTTGTAAACCCTGCATTTTTTCATACAGTGATGCTGATTTTTCTTACAGTAAATTTTGTTGTTAATATTTGTATTTGAGTCGCATCTCAATGTCCAAGCCAAGGTTTGGTACACAGCAGAAGCATGAAGTAGGAGAGAGATGGTTATTAGAGCAAAGTATACACAATGCAGGGGAGGAATTGATCAGTCTAAAGGTGATAGATTGCATACAAGCAGTGAAGAACTACAACCCTGAACTTCTGATTCACTGAAAGGTGCCCTGAGATTGTTGATCACCTGAAATCTGAGAAATAAAAGGCCTTACTGATCTTTTCCTCTTATCCTCAGTCCACTCATGTTTATGTCCAAGTGTAGCATTTTGATTGAATCATAGGAGTATGATTGTCTAAATCATCATTCTATTATCCAAATTCTTCATGGTCCCAAAAAAGATGGAGAGGAAAGGAGATTTGGGTTCTGAAAGCCACATCTTGGGGACTTCAGATCCTTACCCTTGAAGAAGCTGAATAGGATATTTGGCACAAGAGTCTTCTGCATTCTGTAAAAGCTTAATACAATTTTTTTTGTTTTGTTTTGTTTTAAAAACAATCCTTATGTTAAAGAGAAGAGCTGATGACAGTTGTGCTGTGCCACAGACATAACCAAAGTACTCAGGTGTTGCTGCAGCTTCTTAAGTAGCATCTAACAAAATCTTTAGATACAGAAGCTGCTCACCAATAAGTGACTGTAGGGGTCTGGAAAACTGTATTGATCCAATCAGTGTCTGTACAACAGCAAAAATTATTCTAAATATGTTTTGTTTTGGTTTCCCCCGCTGAAAAAAACAGGTGGAATTCTTTGAACCCTTTTGGGATAGTGGAGAACCACGAATTGGAGAAAAAGGAGCAAGAGGCTGGAGGGCATGGATGCACCAACAAGAAAAGGGTGGCTGGATTGCTGTTGACAAACCTGGTATGCCCATGTCAATATGTGTCGTTCCTATGTCCATGTAGTAAAAACATTGCTGCCATCAGTTTATTTTACTGGAAATTTATGTGTTGTGAATTGGGAATGTTTCACATAGTTAATGGTAAACATCACAACAAGAATTTGGATATGGTGTAAAAATGGCATGATTTACTACCAAAAAAAAAAAGTACAGGTAACCATACATTTTGAGGAAGTTTATTTTTTTTTTTCTGAGCCACAAGGAAGTCTCTACAAGCTTCCCCTTAACATTAACTTAGAAGGGCTTATCAGTTACAGCAAGCAATTAATACATACCTGTCACAGGAAAAATATGCTGATAATGTTTAAGTACCAAAAGGATTATCAGAAAAGTAGGATGAGATTAAACACTTCTTTTTGTATGTGTTTAACTACAATGGTCGTTTCTGTTGTGTGTTGCTTAAAATTTTGAAAAATACCAGGTGTTTTAAAGCAGCGTTGTCAGTCTTAGTTTGCAATGTTTAATCGTTGTGATAATGCATTTTGAGGAAACGCAAGTAAAGTGTTTTATGCACATGAATGTTCATAGAGTGCATTTGAGATACCGTGCCCAGATATGAAGAAACTAAACTGCATAAAAAAGTAGCTACTGGCCCTTTGCTGTGGCTTATAAACTGCTGTTGTTAAGTGCCCCACAGCCTGATGAGGATTTATTGTTATCTCTGTGATAAAGTTTGGGTGCTGACACTGGTTCACTCGTTCAAATAGTTTGGAAACCTGCACTTACAGAGATGGTGTCAAAACGCAGAACTATGATGTGGAAATCTTCAGCTCCATCCTGGAAACAGATGCAACGTTAATGAAAACAGGCATTTTAAAAATAGTTAAATTATATGTCAAGTCTGGTCTTTGGATGTGGTAGATTAATTTTTCTTTAATATCTGTGTGGGTGTTTTGATCTGTTTTTAGATGATGATGATGAAGAAGAGATAGATGAAGACGAAGAAATAAAGGATAAAACTCTCCCCAAGTGGCACATTTGGCTGGATATTGAATATTCTCGTGAAGCAAGACATTGGCTACCTTGGAGGCCAGACAAAAACAAAAACCAAACTGAAGAAGACTGTGAAGATCCAGAAAGACAGGTCACTCTAACATAATAAAACAGTGGGAGATAAACTTAGCTTTGTGTTTGGATTCATTGCCAACAGATATTTTCAGAGGAGTAATTCTTTTTTCATTTGTTTGGAATTCAAAAGTCACCTTAGGTTTTGTGCTGAGACTGCTGAAATCCATAGGAACCTCATGGTAAACTTTGGGCTGTAGGTGAATAGCCTTGCTGTTCTGTGATTTCTCTCAGCTGTATATGGAAATATCACAGACTGTGTTTAAGATGATATCCGCATTAAATAAACAAAAGTTTTGCTGCCTGAACTTAGCTTCAAGTCAGATATTTGGACTTTTTTTTTTCTTGGGAGAAAAGGTAAAGTCAGACATTGATCAGGCCTTTTAACGCATTTTTATTTGGAAAAATCAATAATATATTTTTAGACTTTCATTGTGTTAAGTGTTCTGTATGGGTCTCTGATAATCTAGAGCAAAGAAATATCTCGAGAGCAAATTTACCATCTGACTGGGAAAATGCATTGCTTTTCCCTTACCATTTAATAGTAATTATAAATCTTTATTGACTTCAAAAGTTTCTCTAGTTACGTAGGTTTCTTGATTTTACTTGATTGCATAAATTGAGTTTTGATTTGTTTTTTGTTTTAAAGGTTTTATTTGATGATCTTGGACCATCCATGATCCAGCTTTCTAATCCAGACCTTCAACATCAACTGCTGTACTCATTTTTGCAATTCCTGGGAGTGCCATGTATAAGTAAACTCTTTCCTCCCAACCTCTATATTGCCATGGACGAAAATAACATCTTTGACAATGTACTTTCTGATGAAAAGCCACTGACTTCTATTGATGTGCCACTATCTGGATTCAACAGTATTGGTCATATGGACACGATGCTAAGAGGCAGACAGCATATAGGCCATTATAAAGATGGAGAGGAATTCATACAGAATGTTTTTCATGCTCTATACCTGCTATTTTCAGGAAAGGAAAAATCTAACCTGTCCATTTGTTGGTTACAGTATGAAATATCTAAGGTAATGAGAAATCTGCATATAACTGCTTTTGTGCTGTGTGATTTCCTTGTGTGTTTATGTTTAATTAGAATAACTTCTCAGGAAAATTGTCTTAGAGGACTGAGTATTCAAAGCAGTAAGTGTCAGTTAAGATTGCCCTGGGGGCAAAAGAAAAAAGGGTAAAAAAACAAACAAAAAAAAAAACCCTGTTCTTCAGTACATTTTATACAGAAGCATATTTTCATGTAGTAAAGTATTTCTTGCAGTCTTAGATAAATGTTAACATGTTGTCTACTGCTATATGATACTTCATATGCTAGACAAGAGTGGATGCAAGTTGTTCTTTTTACAAGGCAAAGTGAATGAGCCAAGAACTTTCATCAATATATTCTACAAAGTGCATAATCCCCCATACCATGATATTAGCACCTTATGAAGAAACCCACTGCTTCCTTTGCAAGTTACTTTTGCAGTGTTATTGAAGGAAATAACACCTTATTACTTGAGTCTGGATTTAAGTGAAACTGTTCACTTATATGCCCAATAGATGCCCACAAGACTGCAGTTTCTCTTAGCACTTCAGAAAGTTTAATTTTGTGTTTTCTTATGGAAGAATTCTCTGCCTTTTACCCAAACATCACCTAACCAGAAGGTTTCCTATGAAATCTCCAGATTTTTTTCCCCAGCAGATTGCTGTGAAAGTTACGTGGAGATTTATTTGTGCTGGTCATAAGCTGCATCTAGCCAGACAGGATTTTTATTTAGTTCTTCTCAACCATTACAGGATAGCAACTCCTTTTTTTGGATGAGTTGGCCTTTTAAACCAGTGGAATTTGATACTATTTAATGGCAGTGCCAGGCATGAGGATGATAAGCCTGTGCAATTTGGGTATGTTGGAGGAAGCTGACAACAGGCATCTCTGACAACTTACAGTGTTCAGTAGCAACAGCTCTGGCCAGTGGTGAAATATGGAACAATATGAAAACAAAGGCAGTAATGAAATCAAAATGCTGTGAGGTTTGGCTTTTTTTCTTTTTTTTCTCTTTCTTTTCTTTTTTCTCACCTCTCTCAAAATGTGTTCTGTTTATTCTTCGTTGCAGGTAGTTCAGTGTCTCCAAACAAAAAACAAGAAGAAGCTGAAAGCACAAGGGAGGAAAAGTAAAAAATTGGCCAAGAATCTCCTTAAAGCACCTGACAACCGAAATGACCTTTCTCTTTGGAAACTGTATGCGTACCTAGAATGGCTGCTTGGAAACACTGCTGATGCTAGGAAGGTATTTGACACAGCTCTGAGCACAGCAGAGACGGGAGGATTGAAGAGTCCCAAGCTGTGCAGCCTCAGTCTGCTTTATGCTCAGCTAGAAGTGGAACTCCTGGAAAGCCTGGAAGGAGCTGTCACATCGCGCGCTGTTCATATATTGACTAAATTGACTGAAAGTGGACCGTATGTGCCCTATAATGGACAAGTGTTATCTGTTAATGTCCTGAAAGCTCGTAAGACGTATGAGCATGCACTGCAAGATTATTTAAATAAAACACCAGTTTCTGATCGGGATCAGGTCGGTGAGTCTAACCAGCTGGTTAACTTGGTTGGATGTTACGCAGTGTTCCAGTACTTGACCGTTGGGATTGATGCAGCGGTATTGGTATATGCACAGGCTTCGGAAAAACTTCAAGTTCCTGCTCCAGAGAAATGTGAAAATTCCGGAATGAATTCTGGCGTTCAAAATCTTCCCACAGCTCTTGAAGCTGTCACACTGCTGCACACAAATTTACTCAGGTTCCACATGAAAATTAGCGTTTATCCTTTGAATCCTTTGCGAGAGGCCCTAACGGAGGCGCTGAGGAGATATCCTAGCAACCAGTCCCTCTGGAGGTCGTACATCCAGGTCCAAGGGAAGTCTCACAGTGCTAGCAAAGCACGAAGGTTTTTTGATGGTGTCACGAGGTCTACCAGCTCTTTAGAGCCGTGGCTGTTTGCAATCCAAGCAGAGCAAATGAGAAAAAAACTTACTGAGCACGTCCAGAGGTAATATCTTGCAGCTCCTTGTGATAACACTTTTTTTTTTTCTGTCTGATCGCTGTAACAGAGGAGAGAAAATGCTGTCGTTCTTTTTTGCAGATGAAGATGCTATGACTAGGGAGGGTTATTTGTTTGAGACCAGGACAGCGAGCTGGTGACAGAATCCTGAACAAAATTAAAGGCCTAGGTTCTAGTCTCATGTCCTTTCTGCTGGCTCAGATCGTGTGTTGCTTGTGTTTGATTGCTCGGCTCTGACATCAGGATGGTACATACTTATTTGCCTGATTTTTAAATGACTAAGAGCCTGCCTAGATGGCCAGAGTAGACATGATGAGCCTATAAACTGCTGAATTTTAATACGTACAGCAAAAAGGAGTGTAAAACAGAGCTATATTGGTTTCTGTCTGAGCTCACTGCCCTACTTTACTCTGAGTTGCAGAATACAGTGGTAGCAGATCTGTTTCCATAGTGAGTACTTGAGGGTTCGGTTTTTATGTGGGACTGTTGCTAGGTAGAAGAGGCTGGAAATTTCCTGAATTTGTGGTGTGGTCTGGGCTTGGGTATTATGCTCCCAGGAAAGGAAAAAGGGGTAAGAGATGTGAGGAATAGAGGTATATGTTTGTTCTTAAACCTTAGTCTCTTGTCAACCCATTGCTAGGAGCTACCTATGCCATGCTACCTGTGTATCTACAATACTGCCAGCTTGGTTCTTTGTGTCTGCACATAGCAACAGAGATTTCTAGGAAACTGTTATCTGGAGGCTTTCCATAGCTGTAAGCATACAATCTTAGCACTTGATGAAATTATCAGTATGCTTTAAAATGATGTGACCACTGCTTTGATTGCCTCAGTCTGGCAACAGGCATGCACTCGTAGCAGTGACATTCCTGAGCTGTCAGGGTTTGTGATCCTAAATTGTAGTAAAAATTCTACTGCCATCAAATGTAAAGGACAATTGTGATTTGATTTACTGTTAATTGCAGACTGACAATATGATGGTTTTCATTCTCGTTACTGGAAACCCATGTTAAAATTCCAGAGTGGTGATTTTCTCTGTGACATTTAGCTCCTTTCCAGATTGTTTTCTGCTAGCATGGCTGTTCCTGTAAATTACATTTGTATAGGGACAAGCTGGATGTTGCAAGAGTGCAGCTGACCTACTGCAAAGGAGATAAATGGCCTGTGAGTCATGAATTAAAAATAATGTTTTATGTTGTGACAAACTAAGCAAAGGTCTGTAGTATGTGTGACTGTTTCCTGTTCTGTTTCTCATTTCTGCATGTTTAAATGCATAGAATTCATGAAAGAAATGAACATCAAGAGTAAAACGGTAGCATACATAAACCAAGGTGAGATACAATGCTCCATGGAGAGTACATTGCATCACATTCTGCCATGGCTAAGGTTATGATGAGAGGAAACATGACCTTAAAGACCCTTGAAGAAAGAGTCAAATGAGGAGCACTAAGCTTGAGTGGAGCAAGCTGCCAGGATAGGAAAATGCAGAAAGAGAGGTGATGCTGCCAGTGAGTGCTCCAGGCTCTTCCAACACAAGCATCAAAAATAAGCCAGTCTGTATCAGCTGTAGATAGAAAGTAATGCTTCAGTGAAAAACATGAAAAACATTTTGTGTTGGGCCTGGATCTTGTGGGATTTGAAACTCCTGGGTCAAATATAAAATGGTTTCCTGTTCCAATCACAGTTGACATCCAGAGCTGTAACCTAGGGCTTGATACAAGATCTACAGATGGTCTTACAAAAGTAAATTTAAGCAGACTTGTCTGGGTACCAAAAGAAGGCTTCTTGATCTAGACTTGCATTTGGTTTGAGCTGCTTTGCCAAGTTTTGAATGATACAATGTCTGGAATGAACACTAAGATAAGTGTTTTAAGATTATATGATAGCAGATAATTATTCTCAGAAAAATCATCTCCAGTTGAACAGGGTTAATTTTCCAGCATGCTTTAATTTCCAGAAAATATCTCATTTAGCTTCTTTTAATGGAATTTTCTATTTAGAAAACTGGCTAAAAATCAGTTTTGTGACATTCAGAGTTCACAGCATGAAATGCAAAATTGTCCATATACAGTGCTGTGTGAACAGAAGACAGTATGTTGATCTTTACATCTGAATGTGGTCCTTTATCTTGTGTTTAAGTGATTGTGTTTTTCTTTTTTCCCCTCTCTGTTTCAGGGCAGATGTTGGTGAAATATATTATACTATTCCTGAAACTGGGTTAACAAATAGGATTATAGCTCTATTTGAACATGCCACTCAGAGTGAAAATGGTACCCATTGTCCACTGCTATGGAGGATGTATTTGAACTTTCTGGTAAGAAGAGTGTATCCATTTTACTACATCTGCCACATCTGGAATTTCTTATGGGCACAGCTATGATGATATATTAAAAAAGAAACACTAAATGGTGCCATAGCTATATGATTTTCTAGGTGACTTATTTGTGAATTGTAATGCTGCATCTTTTTGGCATATTTGGGAAAATTTCCTTCATAAAGATCAGAAGGAGTGATAGCTGCTGACAGTGTGGTTTTAATACAGGTGCATGTAAGTTATTGTGGCTGCCCTCTCACACAGGTAAAACTTATTTCATGAGATATCAATAGATGGATTCCCCCTGGTCTGTCTCACAATATAGAGGCAAGTGGTCAGGGGAGCAAAATTTAAGAAAAAAGGAAGCAAATCTAAGGAAGGGATGTAGGATTTTATGATTTTTATATAAATAAGCAGTGATGACTTGTATTTGTATCTTAGACCTACTTTAGTGTTCTGTATGGAAATTGTGAGGACTCTGATATTTCAGTCAAAGCTAGATCCCGATCTTGTATAACTTCACGGGATCCCAGAATGGCTGAGGTTGGAAGGCACCTCTGGAGGCCATCTGGTCCAGCCCCTCTGCTCCAGCAGGACTTAACAGAGCATGCTGCCCAGGACCGTGTCCAGATGGCTTCTGAAGATCTCCGGGGAGGGAGACTGCAGCCTTTTTGGGCAACCTGTGCCAGTGCTCAGTCACCCGCACAGCAAAGTGCTTCCTGATGCTCAGATGAAACCTCCTGAGATCCAGATTGTGCCTCTTGTCTCTTGTTCTGGCACGGGGCACCACTGAAAAGAAGAGACTGGCTCAATCCTCTTTGCATCCCCTTTTCAGTTATTTGTATACATGCATCGCTATTCGGCAAAGGGAGATCAGGACACCTGAACAGCACAAGTTTCTGCAACCAACATCACAATAATATGCAAAAGAATTTCTGGATTTTAAGAATTGACAAGGGAACTTGCTCATTTTTAGCAACAGTCAGAACAAGAGAAAATGTGATTTTGTGCCTGAAGAGCTCTTCTCCAAACATCTCAATGCATTTAATATATTTTTGGTATCCAACCGTAACAAGCTTATCTGGAGTGAAAAAGCATATGGGTATAGTCTCTTCAGTGCACAAAAATAATATATTATCACCTTCACGGTACCAGAGATGCTTTTGTGTGGTGTAAGTTCTGGGTAGTGATGCACAGTCTTGCCCATTGCAATATTACTGTGAAATACAGGCAAAGGCACTGGCTTCAACTGAAATATTCAGTGGCAGCTTCTTCTGCTGCTCTCTATTCTACTACTTGTCTCACGAGTAAAACACTGAAACCCCCTAAGGACATCTCTTTGATTACACAGGTAGTCATCACTGTAACCTATCCAACTGTATAGCTATCACAGGATATAGTAGGAAGGACTCCTCAACAGAGGAACACCAAGCTTTTCGTTGGGAATTTCTTTTGTCTCATAGACAGTTGTTTTATTATTTCAGTTATTGCTGTATTGAATTATGAACGTTTTTTTTTTTTTCTCACACAGGTTTCAGTAGGAAAAAAAGAAAAAAGTAAAGGATTGTTTTATAAAGCCATTCAGAACTGTCCTTGGACAAAAGTAAGCATTGAAAAAAATAAGCCTGTCATCAGTACTCTAGTTTTTGAAGTTCTGTATTTAAAAAAAAAAAACAACTAAAAATTATAATTTAGTAGTTATCATAATGGGTAAATGAAATGAAAGTAGAGCTTTCCAAAAAGCAACTATAATATTTATTTATTTATTTTTAAATAAAAAAAAAAGATCTGAAATGGAGACAAACATAGTGGTCAGTGCTGTTTGCATTTCAGAACAGAAGGGTGTTAAGGAGCACCCACAACTCCCCAAATGATGGCTGAGTATGCTGTAAATGCTCCAGCACCTCTTGATCTATGAGTTTTATCTTTTTGAATACAACTGTTTAGTAACAGTTGGAAAAGACTTTGGTTAAACATCTGCACTGCTGTGAATGTAGAAATTCTAGTTCTGTTGGTATTATTTTTAGGAAGTGTATGATATTTCCTGTGTTCTTGCTGCAGGGTTGTTTGCATGTCTGCATACTCTTTCTATTATGTGTCTTGCTGTGATAGAAAAATGGCAGATAAAAAGTTCTCATTTTACCATTGCCTTTCCAGGTACTGTATATGGATGCAATAGAGTACTTCCCTGATCAGCTACAAGAGACACTTGATCTAATGACTGAAAAAGAATTAAGAGTGCGGGTACCTATGGAAGAGCTGGATCTCCTGTTAGAAGTCTAAGAGAAGATTGTGTAAGAGCGAAGAAAGTACACAAGCTAGTTCCAAAACTAACACTTAGTTAGAACTGTCTCTACAAGCTGGAGCTCTGTTGGGACTTGGGTACTATGTACTTTTTTTTAATTTTTTTGTACAAGTTGCTATCAAAATGGAGTTCTACTAGCTGTGAGTATTCTTGGATCAAGTACTGCATTTTGCCCACAGAAATGCATCCATTTCTCTGAAGTATTCCTGGCTCCCACAGAAGGATACCCTCTCGCAAATATCCTCCTGTTGAATGTTGCCCACATTTCTTCTTCTATTGTTTGAAATTACATTCCCTGGAGTTCAATAGAGATTCAGTACATGCCAATTATGGTTTGGTGAACAGCACAGGAAATAAACATCTGCCAAGTGGATGCTCCACTGTCCTCCAGCTGGCAGACTTCAGTAATTTCCTTCAGCTTGGTATGCGTGTGTATATATAACCACCGAGTCAAACAACAGTTACATCTGTTCATAAACAGTGAAGGCCAAATCTTTGCTTGTGCAGGCACCTATTTTGGACTTGTATTTGTATGTTTTGACAGATGACCATTTTAATATGAATATTTATGAAAAATATACCTTTAATTTTTAAAATTCAAATGGAACTTGATTTTCTTTCTTTCTTAATTTAATAAGATTGTTGATACATTAACAATGAAACTTTATCCATAGTGCATCTCTGAGCAGCCCAGTTTAAAAAAAGTTTTTGTAATTGATTACTTTCTTTTGACCCAAATATAGGCAATCATCATGAGAGAAGTAGAAGTCTATTCTGTATTTAATCCTCACCAAAGAAGGTAGAATAGTCAAAGCATGACTCTCTCATTAGTAGCTTCAATTCCAAGAATCTTTAGGCCAGCTTCTAGAGAAATAACATGAAATATGGTAACAATTTAGCAATATAATTGTTATACGTTTATTTTGTAAGACAGAAGATGCTGAAATATGTAGAAGACTGCATTTAGCATTCCTGCTCAGGACACCCAAATACTCAGAAACTAGATCCTCATCTGAAATAGAGTACCTGCAGCTACTGAGTACCTGAAACTGTTTCAGAGATTTTGGTTTGGTTTTGTTTTGGTTTGGTTTTTAGAAGAAAACAAACAACTGTCACTAACAGCACTAAAACAGTTGTGGGTCATCCAGCTGGAGAGATGATTACATAGAAAACTGTGGCTGGAGAAAGTCACACAACCTCTAGCTCATTTTTGCCTAATAGTGGCATAGCACAAGATACACACGTTAGTTTAGGCTGCACTTCATTTATTCATCTTTGTTAAAGTATTATAAATGTTACAGGGAACATGCATAATTTTTAAATAACAGTGCATATTCTAAGAGCCTTAAAATATCCTGGTGATTGCAGGTGATGCTGTTTTTTCTATAAAATAACTTTTTTTCCCCAAAGCTTAGTTATCTTTAAAATCCATTCTTCTTTCCAATATGAGACCTTCTGAATTGGAGGTAAGAGTTACTTAGTATATTGAATGGTGACATCAAAAAGTATTTTTTTTTTATAATTTGCTTTTGCTCTCCTGTCAAAGCAGAATGCCATTTCCTCTAAACACCTGGAACAGGCGTGGAAGTAGGGATGAGGGGCAGCATTTTTGTGCTCCTGTGTGTGTCTCGTCTTCGATCACCTTTCTATTCTATGTGATCCTTCCTCTGGGGTCTTTCCTCTCTTTCTCTTTTGCACAGCTTTTCCTGGTGCCTCACTACAGCTGCTTCCTTCACTTGGGATGGTCAGAGGCTGCTTACTCAGTGGTGCTCCTGGAGTAAGTCTTGCCTTTTAATTCAGACCCCATGAGATTTTTTTGTCTCTATGGTGAAGTTTTTGATTTGAGTTCAGAAATGTTGGAGAAAGTGGTAGAAGTTAAATTCTGCTTTAAAAGCTAAACATTTGTCAAATATGTATCTTCTTCAGCTAATGTTGTGGTAGTCAGTGTACCAGAACACAGTTCTTGATCTTGTTTAATACCTTTCAGCTTTCCTTGTCAGTTCCACCAGCCTCTCTGTGGTTGTTGCTTCAAGCCTGCCTTACCCGCTGTGTCCCAGATAAAAAAGAGAGCCTTGTTTACTGCATGTTCTAAAGCTCTTGAGTCCAACAAGCAGAGATGAGGCCTCCTGTCATGATTAGAAAGTGCTTGCCTAAAAAAGTGCTGGCTTTTTGTGAGTTTTCCAGGGAGACAGATCTCATAAGATTTACAGGAATGGCTAATAAACGGTGCTGTTTTTTTCCTTTCTCCAGATGAAAACCAGCTCTATTTCAGGGTTCCTGTCATCCAGATAAACATTCCCCTCATATGTAAGATTTGTTTTTAACAATGAACCACAACTTTAACATGGAAAAACAACATCTCTTGGCCTTGCTGCTGCCATTGTTGTTAACAGCACTGGCAGTTATCAAAGGGATTGCTTTATGTGTAACTAACTTCCAAATTTCTGTTACTGTCCAGATTTTCTTCCCACAGAAAGTTTCCACAGCAAAGACTGTGCACTACTTAATTGCATTCTGTATACCAAACTTACAGCTTTTAGTTATATATGTACATATATAACAACTTTTAAAATCAAGCATGTAGTGTTTGGAAATAAATGAGAACTGCCCTTTGTTAATGGTACAAATATTTTACCCAAACAGATTACTCAGTGACATTAGGGTAAAGACCTAAATAGATCTTGTTTTTGGAAGCACAAATGTTAGATACAGAGTACATTTCAGTAACAGATACACTTTAAGGGTTTAATTTTTTCATTAATTTTTATGTATATGTTACTTAGGAAAGCGAGGTACTTGGAGGTGACTTTTGTACTAGTTAGTTAGGCATGACCTGCCCTCCACCCAGGGTTTAAAAAAAAAAAAAAGGTACTCTAAGAATAGAGGCAAGTTGCAGTACTTGTACAAGATGGCCCTGCCTAACAAGAACAGAGCGGTGAGGAACCTCCCGATGTGCTCTTCGCTATGCACGGGGGTATGCCAGCACTTCTTGGTGGACACAAGCCTGACTAAAGCAACAACAGTGTAAGTAATTCTTAATTACCATGAAAGCAGTTCAGTTCAAATAAATGTTTTATTGGGAAACAAAGTGTTACACCGACTGAAAACCACAATCCACCAGAATTTAACCTCTTCAGGAATGAGAATTATCTAAACTAGGTGGTTTTACACACAACAGTCATCTCAACCAGGCAAGAGTTTCCAGAAGTTCCTTAACAGGCAGAGATGACTTAAAGATACAGTCCCTCGGGGGTTCCCTCCTGCTTCTTATAGAGAACATTCTCTTTTGATTTTTTGAAGTCTTCATTTGTTACTTTCATTCGCCGTTCCCTCAATGCCATCAATCCAGCTTCTGTACAAATTGCCTACAACAGAAAAAGCAGAAAAAGTTACTGGTTCTGCAGCTACTTCAAACAACACCTCAGCAGACAGCTAGAGCTCTATGAAAAGATTCACCACAGGTTGTAGTGGTAAAGATTATTAGCAAAATTAAAATTAAGTTTTTCATACTGTTTAGTAGTGCTGAAGCATGTAACACAACCTGGATAAAGCCAGATGTCTTCCCATAAAGTAGTATTTCCATGGCAAAAAAAAAAAGGCAGCTTCACAATAATTCCATTTCCCTCCTGCCCACAGAACAAAGGCATCCAGCTCTTAACAGCAGACTGTTACACTTTTGCACTGGGATGACAAAAACTTAATGCCGTGGTGGTAACTCTAGCAAGAGCTCTGTTTACTTCAGACATAGTCTGCTTGTCTGAAACATCCTAATCTAGAATTGTATTTTTATCTGTGTGCAGCATTGTCTCTAAAAAACGCTTCATATGCTGGACTGTTTTGCATGATTAACAATATCTTGGATAGTTCCGCATGATTCCATATAGGTTTGGATACAGTTAAACTGGGGATTTAGGTTTTGAACTATGAACAATGGTGATGTACACACCTTAATATCTGCACCGCTGAGATCGTCTTTTGCCATAATCAGCTCATCCAATGTCACATCATCTGCCAGCGTCATTCTGCTTGTGTGAATCTGAAAGATTCGTTTCTTGGTCTTCTCATCAGGTAAAGGGAACTCTATTTTCCTGTCGATACGTCCTGCACAAAAGAAAAGTTTGCTCTTAGTTGTTTGTTGATGTTGTGTTCTTTTTTGTGCATGCTTCTACTGGAAAAAGAGCAGGAAGAACATTTCATACTGATGGTAACTATCTTCATGCCAGAATCAATCATGTCTTACAGTAGAAAGTGCAATCAGACAGTTCTGTTTGTAACGAACACAAAGGTGGAGCTGAAAAGAGATGCACTGGTGCTTTGTAAAAGCCTGTGTAACTGCAAGTAAAAGGCATCTTATCTGGGAGGCATGAAAAACCATAGCTTCCTTGAGTCATGTAAATATAAGAATAATTCATCATACCACAGAGAAGTGTTAATCCAATACCTATATTCTTGTAACACACTTCATTTTACTGAGATTAAATTTAGCTCTGAAGCTAAACGATTACATTTAACTCTGCCACATACACACAAAAACGAGTAAGTTACTGTGGCAACATGAACCCTTCCAATATAATCTTCTCAAAAAAATGTTAGAAGTATTATGTAGCACTGTAAAACCTATATGAAGAAAGAAGGCTTTGCATAAGTTCTGCTGGAAGTTCCTGCCAGATATTTCCTGAAGTCTGTACTGCCAGAAAGCTGTTGCAGCTCCTATGCTTCCAACATAATAAGCATTCCTTTTAAAGATATTTTCCATCTCTAGATCACACTTCTTCTCTAGTTTTAGTCTTTAGTAAAAGGGGTTGATGGTACCATGTACAGTATTCCAGAAGAATACACACACTGGTAACAGAGTTTACCAAGCTGCCAGAAGTACCATGGTTGCTCAAGCAATGGTAACTAAAATACATGATAGGTATAGGAGGTTTCTTTCCATTTAATTTCAGACCACCCTAACTTGGCTTTTAACATCAGTACAGTATTTTCTGCTCAGTTCTCAAATTGCTTTTGATTTGGAGGGGTAAGCCTAAGATGGGGACAAAAACAGCTTGTTGAAAAATCACACCTTGGCAACTTCATACTGTGGAAGTTTTTCTCTAAACTCCTTGGTTCCATACAGTCTACTGACCCCTCAGATGCATTATCTATCAGATTAATCTAGAATTATCTTTGCTCTCTATTTTACCTGTGTTACTTAAGAAGAAAAGTATCTTTACAACTGCTTCAATATTTCAGATTTATTCAAAGACTCTACCAGGAAGCTTAGCTTATTCCTTTGATCTCTCTGTGGCTTTCAAATTTCTCATTTAAAAGACACCGCATGTATTTATGCGGGTTTTGGTACATTTTTATTGGCCATTTAAAAATAGTATGTGTGTCTGTTCAAGCTCTGGGCTCAACATGTAACACACATAAAAATAAGATACTATTTCTCCCTGACTAATCCCCTGTGACTGAGTTCTGATTTTAACAGATACACCAGCATAGATGGAAAAGAGACAAACCACTGACGTGCGTTCTTTTGACCAGCCCATTTGTTTAATAATCTGTGTGACAAGTCCTTTCACAGGGGGAAGTCTCTTACCTGGCCTAATTAGAGCTGGATCC